CAAGAGACAAGAATTAAAACGTGATGCCAACGAAGAAAAGCGCGACGCCGAACCATACTATTACTACAAGAGACAAGAATTAAAACGTGATGCCAACGAAGAAAAGCGCGACGCCGAACCATACTATTACTACAAGAGACAAGGCGAAAAACGTGATGCCAACCAAGAAAAACGTGACGCCGAATTTGACAAGAGACAAGAGAAACGCGACGCTGAACCATACTATTACTACAAGAGACAAGAATTAAAACGTGATGCCAACCAAGAGAAACGTGATGCCGAACCATACTACTATTACAAGAGGGATGCTGAGGCTTCCCCTGAACCATATTATTACTATAAGCGTGATGCCGAAGCAAGTCCTTACTACTACTATAAACGCGATGCTTCTCCCTACTATTATTATTAATAGTTCCTAAACTTAATTAGAATAGACTTTGTATATAATGTATATAGTCTCATTTTATTTGTAAATATTCTTGACAGGATAGAAGGGCCTCGCGCTTTTTAAGTTCGTCGTTCTAATAAATACACGTCTTAATATTCACGTGCAATTAAAAAAACGTCATGCTTTATTTTGTAATATACGCATGTATTGTAGTACTAACATTGCATTTATAAGTTCATCGCGATTTTCCGATTTCTGGTTTCTTCCAAGATGACCGACGAATCTTCTGCAAGCAGCTCCGATCATAATGTCCTTGAAGATGAGAATAAGGATATTAGTGGTACATTTCAGCTAGAATATAGCGAGCTAGAACGAAATGAAGAGGTTTTTTCTCAAGAGGGATCGGATAATAAAAATATAGAACTTTTTCAACAGGAAAAGATAGCCTTCTATCCGTACAAGGAATTTGAACAAATAGAGAAAATTGGCGACGGATCATGTGGAGATATATTTAAAGCAACTTTAAAGAATACTCAGAGAATTGTGACCATTAGGCCAGCTCCTTTGTCGGATGAATTCAAACTTCAGGATTTAATTAACGAGGTAAAATCTCGGATCTTTCAACTTTCTCCGCTTATTTCAACTTTTCTAAAATTTTGATTTATAGATCAAACAACATGAAAAATTAGAATATAATTATAATATCTTAAGGTTCCATGGTATAAGCACTCAAGGTAAACAGCGTAGCGTAAAATGTAAAAAGAAAAGATTCGATATGTACATTTTGTCCTTAAGATTTCATCTTTCGATGCTTGACATTCAATTATTAGAACCGAATTCGAATGAATACCTACTGGTCGTTGAATACGCTGATGAAGGGTCCCTGCGTCAGTATCTGAAGAACAATTTTAGCACCCTGAGTTGGACTTCTAAATTACAACTTGCGAATGAAATCACTGGTGCCACAATGTGTCTACATTTCAATGGAATTGTTCATGGACACTTGGTAAATCATTTGTAATTCTTTAAGTTGGTCATTATATTAAATTTAATTATTACCATTTTGAATTACGTAAATAGGATTCCCAAAACGTTCTCATTCATAGAGGTCATGTCCGAATAAATGATCTTGGAATATCCAGACGAATGGCGGAATTTTCTAATTTGCTTGTGAAATCACTTGGTTCCTTCCAATACATGGATCCACAAGTTTTGGAAATTCTTTTATCGATCGGTCATAAAAAGAGTTCAGATATCTACAGCTTGGGTGTACTTCTTTGGGAGATTTCTAGTGGTAGAGTGCCATTTGAATCTGAAGAGATGGATACCAATGAGTTAATAAAGGAAATTATTAAGGGCAGACGGGAGATAGTTGAACCTGGAACTCCTCGTGGATATGTGAAAATCTATAGAGGTATGTTTAATATTCTAGTACTCTCTGATTGTTAATTGATTAATCGTTTAAAAGAAAATTTATCCGTCTTTTAGAATGTTGGCAACAAAACGATATTAAACGCCCTACTGCTGAACAAGTTCACACTGCGCTTAGTGAAATCGATATTGATGATGTGTTAAGTAATTATGAAATATTATGCTCATTTGACGATATATCAAAAGAAGAATCGTCCAGGTATCGATTTTTTTTCAAAATCGATGTACTTTACCAATATATACTAGCTTACTTCTTGTTTATTCTAGTAAAGCTAAGGAAATCGACGGAGTCGAAATACCTACATCCGATATTAATGCTGAGTCTAGTGAATCACATAGATCCGCCAATGGCATTGATAATGCTGAGCTTTCTGAAGATGCAGATTCTACATCTCAATTTGATACAGACATTCAAATTGATTTGCCACCCGTCGAGACATTTTCTGAGATAGATCAGTATATAAAGGGGTTATTTCAATTTTATATTGATCAATTTAATATGCAGCATCATTCCGGACAAGTTGCTCTTAAGGTTAGAAAGTACATGGAAGGGGATAAAAAAAATCCTACCAAAGTATTCGCGCAAGTTCTTCAACATCCGAATTTTTCTTACTTCACAAGTCTAGTGGGTTTTTTTTACCGTCACGGAATAGGTACTCTAGTCGATTACGAGATGGCATTTGAAATGTATTCAATGGCAACCAACGAGATGGAATATGATATACTTGAAGAATCTGATGATCTTCTATTATTTGATCGTTGTAAAAGGGAAAATACGATCATTGGCCGAATTTCTCTCGGGTTACTGTATTATAATGGGTTAGGTTTAAAGAAAGATGAGAAGAAGGCATTTCAAATATTTATGGATGCCGCGGAAGATGGCTCGAGCTGGGCTCAATCATGTGTTGGCCATTGTTATTACAGCGGGCGGGGTGTCGACGAGAGAGATGAATCAAAAGCATTCGAATGGAATTTTAAATCAGCTAAGAATGGAAGTCTTGTCGGTCAATGCAATCTTGGATATTATTATCAAGGTGGTATTGGTACCGAGTTTAATGAACAAGAGGGGTTCCAACTTTATTTGCAAGCAGCTGAAGCAGGAAACATCGAAGCAGCATATGTTGCTGGATATTGTTACGAAGTTGGTAAGGGCGTTGGAAAAGACGAAAGGAAAACCTTTGAATGGTACCTGAAGCTTGGAGAACAAGGGTACGATATAGCTCAGTGTGATGTTGGTTATTGTTATTATAATGGAATCGGCGTGGCGAAAGATGAAGAAAAAGCATTTGAGTGGTATCTGAAATCTGCTGAAAATGACTATTCATTTGGACAGCTACAAGTTGGAAAGTGTTACAAGAACGGGTATGGAACGCAGAAGGATATTTTGAAAATGTTCCATTGGTTAACGAAAGCTCGTGATAATGGCGAACAAGATGCTGAAGACATACTTCAAGATATTATTGATAGAATGGTTTAATATAATATTTTCTTTTGTAAAACTTATTATTTTATATGTTGTCGCTTGTTCTGTACATTGAATAATATAATGAAATCATTTTATTTAAACCGCCGTTCCTTTTTCTTGTAATTGTTGGTTCACGGTGTGCATTAATACTCAGGTCGTTATAAAACAACTAATCATTCTCTTGAACAATAATTAACAGGTCTTTCTTTTTTGCAATACTTAGGTTAATCGATCAAAAAATGGTTATTTAAAAGCATAAATATATAAATTTTTGTGTCTCATTGGATGAAATGTTATTAGAAATTTTGTAGACATGTTAAAATTTTAAATCGTACGAAGTTTTATTTCAACAAGAAAAAAAGTTTGTTCTAATAATCTCGTTAGATTATTTATATTGAATCGATGGAACAACTTCAAGGACTATACTTTTATAATTGCATTATAATATTTTAAATATTAAGAAGGTTTAAGCAAATTATTTTTAATTAATTTGAAATTTAATTGAATTTTATTATATATTTATTTTTTATAAAAATAATTTTTTTTTTAACATTTATTGAAATAATTATTATTTTATTCTTGTTTTTCTATAACTATTAATAAATATATTTAAAAAATATAGTATATGACTATAATAATTATATTGATTATCTATTAAAATTAATAAATTCAAAGTTATTTCTAGAATATATATATTAATTGAAAACTAAATAATTTTTAAACTATTTAACTATTTAAACTATATAGTATATATTATATACTATTGTTTTTAATTCTTTGGTTTACTTATTATGATTTTATTATAAATTTAATATTATTAATTTGAATGATTATTTTTGAAAATGAATAAAAAAATTTTTGAATCTAAAATTATAACTCCAAAATTATATTTTAAAAATATAATTTAAAATTATAAAATTTTATATTTATTATTGCAATTTTATTAATTATAATCCTATTAAAAATTTTAAAAAATTTCAAAAATATATATAATTTATCAAATAAATTATAGAAATATAAATTAAATATAAAGTAGAACTTGCATAAAAGAAAAATAGTTAAATTCAAAGCCATAAAGCTATTATCTATATTTTACATTCTACTTTATATTATTATATTATATTTCTATTGAAATAAAAAAAATGAATAAATTTTCTATTTTAATAAATAATTTTTATTTATTTCTATTTTTTATTATTTTTGAAATATTATTATTTTTATTTTATTTAATAATACATATTTTGTTTTATTTTATCTTTTATAATTTTATTTTAAATATAATTTTTTTTATAATTTATATTATTAAAAATACTAAGAATATAAATATATAATTTTTAATTAATTTTTATTTAATTTATAAATATATTTTTGAAATTTTGTTCAAAAATAAATATTAAAAAAATATTATTATAAACTTATACTTTAGTTTTTAATAAATTAATTAATTCTTCGATTATACAAATATTTTATATTAGCTTACTTTTAACAAATTATTTTAATAATATATTAAAATAATTATCAACAATACTTTTATTATAATATTCAGCAAAATTGTTAAATAAATTTTTTATTATAAATAAAACTTAAATAATTAAAAATAAAATAGATTAATTTATAAGAATAAAAATAAGATCCTGAATAAAATCAAAATTAAATTTTATTAAATTGTGATATAAATAAACTAAAAAAAAATTTTTTTTATATTATTAGTTACAAATAATAAATTATAATTTAAAATTTTTAAAAAATAATCAAAATATTGAGTTTGAATTATATTATTTTTATTTTTATTAAAAACAATAAATTTTAAAAATAGAATTTATATTTTTTTATAAAATTTTTTTTATATTTCAATTAGATCACTATTAATTTTAAAATTTTATTTAAAATTTATAATAACAACATATAATATAAATATTAATAATTCAAAAGAATTTTTATATAATTTTTATTATTGAGTTTTAAAATAAAAATATTTTTTATAAAAATCAATTTCAGTTTGTAATTGATTAAAATAGCATTGTTTTTTCTAATATTTAAATTAATTTATTATAATACAATTTTAAAATTTTTTTCTTTTTTTTAATATCTTCTTTTAAACTAGCTTTATATACTTTATTAAACAAATGTATACTATATATTATAATATAAATTATCAAAGCTAAAAACTCTAACTAGCTCACTTATTTTTGTAATTATTATTTTAAGTATAATTTTAAAAGTAATTTGTTGCATCATTAAGAGTTCAAATATAAACTCTTTCAACTTTTAATATTATTGTCTGTAAATTATTATCATAGATTATTCTTTTAAGTTTTAATAGAACTCAAAATTCAATTATTTTATTCCAAACCTAACTTCTTTTAATAAGATGGTTTTCAAATCTTGATCTTTTGGTTTTTCTTTCTTTGTTAATAGAACTCTTCTTTTTAATAGTATAGTTTTATGATTTTGAGAGCTATGAGATTTTTTTATCTTATTATTTCTCAGAATTTTTTTATGTTCTTTTTTATTTATTATTATTTTATATTTTATGTTCCAAATTTTTTTATAAAATTTATTATATACTATACAGTTGCTTCCAAAAGTTTGAGTCCACTTACTATGTTTTTATTATAAATTTCAACTTTGACAATT